GTACTTCTTGGTGACCCTCAGCAGTGCAGGGAATTAGGTGGCAGTGGGTTCTTTCCTGTCTGGCTGGGGATGGTCATAATTGGCATATTGAGGGACACAGTAGAGAATGATGAGAAATAGGCCCTGACATTTTGTGTATGAGATGTAGGGAAAAATCCTGTCCAAATCCTGTCTCAAAATGAGGATACTTTTTCCAAAACTCACTGTAGTAGAATAGACTGAACTAAATGTAATAAAGGTTAATGGCTCTGAAGTCCTTGGGATATAAATTTATTTCAGGAAGTTCTTCCTGTAGTTGTTAGAAGCATACTTTAATGACTAAGGAATTATTATTTGTGTGTGTGTGTGTGTGTGTGTGTGTGTGTGTGTGTGTGTGTGTGTGTGTGTGTGTGTGTGTGTGTGTGTGTGGCAGTCTTGGGGCTTGAACTCAGGGCCAGAGAACTTTCCTTAACTTTTCTCACTCAAAGGCTGCTGTTGTACTACTTGAGTCACACCTTTACTTCTGGGTTTTTGTTTGTTAATTGGAGATAAGAGTCTCATGAACTTTTTTTCCCAGGCTGACTTCGAATCTTGGTCCGTAGATCTCAGACTCCTGATTAGATAGAATTATAGGCTTGAGTCACAAGTGCCTGGGTTAAGACCAGTTACTAACCTCGTTGTAATTGAGCTCCTCAGCCTTCTTCCATGGGGATAAGTGAGGATGAGTTATGGAACAGGGCACTTTCAGCGGCAGCAGGGAATTGTAGCATTCCAGGCCTTCTGCATGAGGCTGGATCACCATGGGGAGGCTGGGTGGTCGCCAGAACACAGGGTCATTTGAGCTCCTGGGGAGAGGAAGGCAGATAACATTTCTCAGCAGAAATACGATTTTAGTTACCTCCAATTCTTGACTCCAGTGTATTTATCCTGGACATTTAGAGTTTCAGCTAATTAAATCAATTTGTCATTTCTCACGAAACAGGAAAATGGGGTTGTCAATGCTCATTAAGTTAGTTTTGCATCTTGTCAAACTAGGCAATAGGCCACCTACCACGTCTAGGTGATTCATTGCATTGCAGGAAGTTAAACTCCTCTAATGGCAATGCTCTGGGGACTTCTGTGCCTGGCTCTGCCTTCTCCTGCAGCACGGGTCCTCCAGCTGCCCTCACATGAAGGGTTAGGAAATGCCGAGTCCTTGCAAGTGAATGCTTAGAGCTCCAGATATACTGATCAAAGACCACTTGTGAACTAACACCTGTTCTACCCAGAGTGCATTGCTAAGCAAGGGATTGGGTGATTCATACCTCCTAAATATATTTCATGGCTTCTGAGGTCTCCAACACAGCTAAATGGCCCAGAAGAAGCCATGGGTATTCAGTTACAGCTGATCTAAGATGTCACCTGCACAAACCTGCAGTTTTCTAGAGATGATAGCGGTATGCTAGAAAGTTCTAGAAAGTTCTCTCCTGGGAATTTCAGCCGAACCTATGCCAAGGGCCAGCCAGTTGCTAGGATGCCCTCTGGGGAAGGGCAGCCAGTAAAATCATGAAGCAAGACAAAGCATGAATAAGCACAAACAAGAGTAAGCCATTTTCATGAAGTCAGGGGGACACTAGAGGAATGGAAAGGGGTGTTGAACTGAGGCTCTCATGGCAAAAATAATGTGGCAGCCTGGGTGATGTTGGATTTCTTTAGTTTCTGCCCTGTACTGTGAACTCAGTTCGATGCCAGCTATATATCTATGTCCCCGTAGTCTTTTGTGTGCCTAAGATTCAACACAGAAGTGTATAACCTTTTGTTTTGCTTTTTTGTGCTGGTCCTGGGGTTTGAACACATGGCCTGAGCCCTGTCCTGGAGCTTCTTTTGCTCAAGGCTAGCATTCTACCACTTGAGCCACAGCTCTACTGATGGCTTTTTTAAAGTAGTTAATTGGAGAATAGAGTCTCATAGGCTTTCCTGCCCTGGCTGGCTTCGAACTGCAGTTCTTATTTCACAGCTTTCTGAATAGCTAGGATTACAGGCATGAACCACTGGTGCCTGGCTTATTTTGCTTTTATTGTCTATGAAATGCTTTGAGTGGCTTTCCTCCTGTCTTTATTTCTCTTGTCCAGTTCCTGGATGTTTGGCACTATTTGTCCCACATCCTCTACTGTAGGTGTCTTTTATGATCTAAGTCAAAGTAGTAATAAAGACAACAGAGAGGGTTTGTTAAACTGATCTGCCAGTTACCTAAGGGTGCCCAGACATAGCTTGGCACATATTGCCTTTGACATTTTATCCATTTACAATCATATTAGTTGGAGAAGGATGCAGTGGTTTAGTCTAAATATTAGGTCACAGCTAGACTTAGAGTTGGCTTTCTATTTTCTCCATTTTTAAATATCCAGCTTACTCTCATCCATAGACTCTGTTTTTGTGTATCTAAGAACAGAATAGCTGCATAGCAGGGGCAGAAACATTTTAGAATGAACACATATGTAGTCTGACTAATATACTCTTTCTTGGAGCAAGAATGGATCTTCAAAATGTTTCGTTTGCACAGCTATGTTGTAAAGTGGTAGTAGACAGAGCTACCTGCATTGCATACCAGATTTGGCCTGATACAAGACCTGGTCTGTGTGTGTGTGTGTGTGTGTGTGTGTGTGTGTGTGTGTGTGTGTGTGTGTGCATGTGTGGCCCTTGCATGGAAGTAAATTTTAAACTTCCCCAATTCTTCATTCTAGTCCTAGAACTAACAGGGCACATGGCTGCCCAGCCAATGCCAATATTTCCAGCCTCTCCTGAAACTAGATGTGACTATGTGACTACATTTCCTCTAATAGAAAGTGATCAGAGTGATGTTTGTAACTTCTGTGACAAGTCCTCGAAAGGAAATTGCTTTCTTTCCCTTTCTCTTCTTGCTTCCTTCCTGTTGGGCTATTGGTTGGCTATTGGTTGCCTTGTCTCAAGGCAGATGAGGATCATATTGTAGGGAATGAGGGTAATGAGAGGGGAGGAAGAATCTTCATATAACCTGTAGCATAAGCCACCTACTATGGAGTGAGTATGTAGTGCATATACCTGCACTGTGCTGTATGAGACAAAATCTCTCTGTATGAACAATCCTAGTGTTTTTGCTTATTCTATTCCCTAACTAATACACACTAGTGCACACTTACTAAGTGTTTATAGTGTGCCAAGAACCCGAGTGCTGAATATGTGTGATTACACTTGCTTCCCTAATAACCATCCTAGACAGGTCCTACTGGATAATGTCAAGCAGCTTGGAGAGGGAAGATGTCCTGTCTAAGATTGCATGGCTGGTAGCCAGTACTTGAACTCAGCTTTGAAGTGTTTCAAAGCATTTATTCTTCATAGCTATACCCCAGGGTTTCCTACTGTTGATTGTGTTTCACTCTTTTTCTGCAGCGTATATTCAAAGTATTATTCTCTGACTCGCTCAATTTCCAATCTGCCTGGACCTCTTTGCCTTGATGTCAGTGGCTCATTTTATTGTCTCTGTTTTGAGTATCACTCTTTGTTTTAAATAGGTTAGTTGTACAGTATTCGCTAGACAGTGAGTCTCTTAGGGGATGGGCAGAGATGAAGAATAAATGACAATTATTTATCTAAAGGAATAAAAGCTGTCTGGTCTTAAGAGTGACTCAATATTCTCTTACTAGGTGTTTTCATCCCTGGCATATAAATATGATTATTGATTAATCTATCCTGGTGAAGTCCCCACCATGATTTAAAATACATCTTCATAGTAGCAATGTAATTGAATAGAAGAAACATTTGATAAAATGCTTTTGAGTAAGGAATTCTGCTTATTTATTTATTGTGTTAGATACACATGCTCAGGTAGAATGTAAAGTTTTCAATATTGTGTTTTACTCAAATATTTGATTAATGATCATCCTCATGCATAAATTAATACTAAGGTTACTATATAATAAAATAAAATCCAGAATAGTAGCTGTTTTAAATAAGGTGTGCTATGTTTTTCCTACAGAGATGAGCAGCTGAGATATGGTGTCTTCTTGGACTTGGGGATTCCAGGTTCCTTTCCTGCTTACTTTGTCTTCCAAAATGCATGAGAATTTAGATCAATTCTAAGGATTTCTTTTTTCTTTCTTTCTTTCTTTTTTTTGGTGTGCCAGTCCTTGGGCTTGAACTTAGGGCCTGGGCACTATTTCAAAACTTCTTTTGTTCAAGGCGAATGCTTTACCATTTGCAACACAGCTCCACTTCCAGTTTTTTGGTAGTTGTTTTTTTTATTAAAGGTAAGAGTCTAACAGATTTTCCTATTGCTGGTTTTGAACTGAAATCCTCAGATCACAACCTCTTGAGAAACTTGTAAGTATTACAGGCGTGAGCCACTGGTGCCTGGCTTTCCTTTGGATTCTTAATGGCTGTCCCCTATTAGTGATCACCCTCATAACAACAACCATCAGATCAGAGTTACAGGCAGCCAGATAGGAAGATGGCAAAGAGTTTTTTCCACCTGTTCTCTCTTAAGTCTCCTTTCCAGAATTTTTCACTAAATAAACTTCCATTTACATTTCATTGATCAGAATTTAGCCATACCTAGTTATATAGTGGCCCAAATAAAAATAAGACTTGTTTTTAAACTAAGGAAAAGAAAGAAGTGTTGAGTGGACTTCTAGTTAGAATATTCCTATCTAGGCCGACAGTAGAGAAATAGTGGCTTATCGGCCAAAATCTACACACAACCTTGTGGTTTTTTGTTTTTGATTTTTTTGGTAAATACATTTTTATTGGAGCAAAGCCATAAGCATTCAGTTTACATATCATCTCTAGCTGACTCCACAGAGTCAAGCAGTTATTTCAGAAAGCTTATGGGCCACAGGCCTAAACTGTTTACAATTTGGAGCTTTCTGTAAGTTCTTGATGACTGTGGGGAAGTTTGGAGGAATGACTTCAATTCTTGTGATGACATTGTGGCAGCAGAATTGGGCTTGATAAGGATTCAGTCATTATTTTTCTTCAGCCCCATGAGGTTACTATATATAGTAGGCATGTGTTTGGCTTCAGGTAACATAAACTGAGACTAATGGTGGATTAAACGAAAAGGGATTTATTTTCTTCACATTCACGGTCTAGGGCAGATGGAGATGTTCACTGATGCTTTTGTTCACTGGGCTTTTTCTTTCTCCCAGACATTCATCTCCATGCTTACTATACCCAGCCATCTTATCTGCAGGCAGGAAGAATGGGAAGGTTCAAATGGCCATATAGCACAAGTCTGTCCTATCCTAAAGGGTCCCCCAGAGGTCTTCGATGGTTAGGACTGTCTTGGGACCATCCCTGGCAGCTGAGGAATCTAAGATGGTGAGAATATTAACTTGGTCACATTAAGGGACAAATGAAATGGAGATTTTGTTGGAGATGAAGAAGGACAATTAGCAGAAGGTGCTATAGAGGGCTCTGTACTGTTAAATTACTCTAATACCATCTTATGATCTCAATTCGTTTTAAAAATACATTTGTATTCTCTTTAAGTAGTTGCACAAAGGAAGTTGCCACTCAACAAAGCAGTTTATGACTACAGTGCATCTTGATCCATGTGACTCTTTTCACCATTCTCCACCATTCCTCTGAACCCACTCCTTCCCTCATTTTTGAAGGTTTATAGGATATGCACTGAATTTTATGATTACATTGTCCTGTCCCCCTTTCCTGTCTTCATACATCTACTCTGTCTACTCCTTCCCCCTTGACAACCCTCCCACATTGAGTTCTCATTTCCTTCTTTTTTTTTTTTTAATTTATTTTATTTTATTTGTGAACATACTGTACAGAGGGGTTACAATTACATGGGCAGGATAATGCGTACATTTCTTACCAAGCATTGCAGCCTCCTCCTTTGTTTATCCTTCACATCCCTTCCCAGCCTCCCCCTCCTCCCCTAGTCCCAATACTTCCCCCCCACCCCCCCACACCAACATTGTAAAGCTCGTTTTCGACATGACCACTTGTACTTCTCATTGTTGCAACAGGTCCACCTGTATCCTTAAATGACTTGTTTTTCCCCATCTCCTCCACAAGTTATACTGACATCAAATATAGTGAAAGCAGGGGTTATACTGTGGGGGAGGGACGTACAAAGCAACAAAGAGATAATCTTATAAATGCGTTAGAAACACATGCATGAAAGAAAAAAACATTAAAATACATATCTAAGGGTTCATTTTCCTAACATCACATTATCTGACCTTTTCCGCTTGACTCATACATATACTAGATATTGCAAATAGGGGAAACCATGGGACCTATGTTTCTTTGGGCCTGGCTTACTTCGCTTAATATAATTTTTTCCAAGTCTTTCCATTTCCTAACAAATGGGGCAATGTCATTCTTTCTGATGGAGGCATAGAATTCCATTTTCTTGATCCATTCATCTACTGAGGGGCATCTGGGTTGGTTCCAGATCTTAGCTATGGTAAATAATGCTGCAATAAACATAGTTGTGCTGGTAGCTTTAGTGTGGTCTTGTTTGTAAACATTTGGGTAAATGCCCAAAAGTGGGATTGCTGGGTCATAGGGGAGTTCTATGTGGAGTCTTTTGAGGAACCTCCATACTGCTTTCCAAAGTGGTTGAACAAGTTTACATTCCCACCAACAATGAAGTAAGGTTTCCTTCTGTCCACATCCCCTCCAGCATCTGTTGTTGTTAGAGTTCTTGATTTTTGCCATTCTAACTGGAGTGAGGTGGTATCTCAATGTTGTTTTGATTTGCATTTCTTTTATGGCTAGCGAGGTTGAGCATTTCTTCATGTGTCTATTGGCCATCCTTCTTTCTTCTTCAGAGAAGTTTCTCTTTAAGTCTTTCGCCCACTTGTTTATTGGACAGTTGTTTCTTTGAGGATTTGTTGTTGGGGGATTTAATTTTTTGAGTTCCAAGTATATTTTAGATATGAGACCCTTGTCCGTTGTATGGCTAGTAAAGATCTTCTCCCAATCCGTGGGCTTTCTATTGATCTTGCTAGCTATGTCCTTTGCCATGCAGAAGCTCTGCAACTTTATGCAATCCCATTTGTCCAACCTTTCTTTGATTTGTTGTGTTTCCGGGTCTCTATTCAGAAAATTTCGGCCTGAGCCAAGGAGACCTAGGGTTTCTCCTATTCCATCCTGTAATGTTTTCAGAGTGTCTGCTTTGACTCTGAGGTCTTTGATCCATTTGGAGTTGATTCTGGTGCAGGGTGATATATAAGGATCTAGCTTTAGTTTTCTACAAGTAGTTAACCAATTTTGCCAGCACCATTTACTGAAGAGGCTGTCTTTGTTCCATTCTATTGTTTTAGCTCCCTTATCGAAGATTAGATGGCTATAGGTCTGTAGGTTCATTTCTGGGTTTTCAATTCTTTTCCATTGGTCCTGAGGTCTGTTCTTATGCCAATACCAAGCTGTTTTGATTACTATGGCTTTATAGTAGAGTTTGAAATTTGGTATTGATATTCCTCCAGCAGTGTTCTTTCCGTTGAGGAGCGTTTTTGCTATTCGGGGTCTTTTATTGTTCCATATGAATTTCTGGATTGCCTCTTCTATTTCCTTCTTTGTTTTGTTGGACTGTGAGTTAGTCTTTCTAAGGAATTACACCATTTGAGTTCTCCCTGGATCTACCATTTTGCAATGAATACATTTGTGTGTTATTTGGATGCCACCCCAAAGTGATTACTTATTTACTATTTCTAAATTAATCTAGCTTCCACACATGTGATATTTTCTCTCTCTGGGTTTGACTTACTTCACTTAACATGAATTTTTTTCCCCCCAGGTCCTTCCATTTCTTTGCAAATGATGCAATCTTATTATTTCTAATGGATGAATTACATTGTGTGTGTGCGCGTGCGCGCGTGTGCACTCAATTTTTCTTTCTACCTTTGTCCCTTACCCCTCCCTGTAATAGTTTGTAAAATTAATTTGTCTTCTTTTCTCCTCCCATACTGTTTGTACCTTTGGCTAGGTGAGAAGCCTGGAAATGAGCCTGAAGAGGCAAAACTGCAGAGTGCCAGCAAACAGATTGTGCAGAATGCCATCCTGCAAGCCGTGCAGCAAGTCTCCCGGGAGAGTCAGCACAGGGAGGGCAGACCCAGCGACAGCCGGCCCCGCTGCCAGCTGGGCAGGAGGGAGTTACCCAAGAAACATGAAAAGAAGTAACAGGGTGGTGGATCTTGTAATGTGCTTGGTTTCTAGCCTTCCTGTTAGTGTAGGATGCGTTGCCAAAATGTTGCCAATAAGCACACCAAAGTGTTTCAGACAACTCACAGTAGAATGAATTCACACTAGCCCTTGGCTGAGAAGCACTGTGTTTCAAAAAGTGCATTTGATGATTCTGCTCATATTTATGCAGTGCCTCTAATACATAGTGGGGTCAAATGTGGCATCATAATTGCAAAAATAGTTTTGCAGCCTAATTTACTTTTGAGTTTTTTCTTTTCCTTAATATAAGTCTTCTTTATTTGTTTCTGCCTTTTATGCATTTTTCCCATGATTTTAACCAGCAGTCTTTTTTTTTTAAGTATTGAGTACATTTCTGTGTTCTTTATGAGTATTGTACAAAAATTTTAAACAGAAGGCATGCTGGAAAGATGAGGGGATAGAGCTTTAATTCCTTTCAAATACTGAATTAAAGGCCTTTGTGAAAAGTATTCAGGTTCAAGATCAAATTTAGCAAAGGCACATTCTAAAACCCAGTCCCTCAGGGTCATACTAAAGCATATATTTATGTTACTTTTAAAAAGAGAGGAGTTTATTCCTTTTAAGTAATCTATTATCAGTTCTCTGACTTGTTTTACAGTTGATGTGGGTTTTCTGTGCAGAAATTAATTGGGGGTAGATGAGTTTCTTTTCCCACCTCAAGATTAAAGACAAGTGAGTCTATACTTATGGTTTATGACTATTCCATTTTTAGTGCCCTAATAGGGAACAATTAGACTTGTGAATCCCTGGATGGCTGCCCATATTGGATTCACTTACCCTTGAGTTTGGTTATAAAAAGGGCAGTACTTGTGGAAGGAATTCTACAGCCTTATAGGTCCTACATCATTGTCAGGCTATGCATTTGTCTTAATATCATACAAATAGAAACTTCTTTTCCCTTTGTTCAAATTGGACTTTTTGTGAAAAGCATAGGGGTCATAAATGAGTAGCAAAATGGGAAAATAATTTTTTTCAACTCTTTGTATCATGAAAATAACGTGGGAAGAATAAGGTGATGGAATTGTGAAGATATTGATAGAGATATGTGCATAGGTGTGTAAATAGAGCCATCTCTATTCAGCAGGGCGATTTCCTGCTCCACCCCTCTATTGTCAGTGCACATCTTTCTGGAGTCTTGTGGAGTCTTATGTTGTTGTTTTTTTTATAATTCACAAAAGCTACTGAGTTGGTGCTATTGGGGATAGAGGAAGAATTTGACTTTTGTTAAAAATCTTCAGGCATCGGAATATCAATTGTCTACATTTGTTAGTTGTTTTTATTTAAAATAAAAATATTAGCATATAAAATGTAATATTACAATACATGTCTAAAATTCCAATATGTTGCACTTTTCAGAATGTGTACTGTGGATGACAGTAGATGGATTAAAAAGAAGATTTTGTTAGACTGTCTTTCACAATGCATGGTGTAATAAATAAATTCAAGGAGACAGTGGTGGTACAGTAAAGGGCATGGAAACATCAAAGTTGTTCATCCATACGTATCTTTTTATCAGAACTCGTGATAATTGGATAATGAACTTAAGTTGATCTAAAGTCATATAATCCTCATACTTGCACAGTGTACAGACTGAACATGGAAGTATTCAGGGAAATTAGTCTGGTGTGCCCACCACTCAAAAACAAACCCAATGCTTATAGTTTGCAAGTTATCTGGTATGATGTTTACCACCCTGTCTGAATATAACCAGCCATGTTTTTTGCTGTCATATGGCAGAAACATATAAACATGCTATCCCTTCTTCTCTGGTGTATCTATACTAATAAACTGGAGATCATTGAGGGAATGCTTTATTAACCTCTGTATCTAAATGTTATTTATGAATAAAATATCAGCTTTGAAATAGGTTATCATTTTAAATGATGTTTTCTATACCATATTGTTTAGTTCGGTTTTTATGTAGATCTTACTTGCTTATGGAAGCATGAGGCTTTCCAATGGAGTTTCTCTTCAAATTCTTAGGTACAATAACCAGAGCAAGTGCTTCTTTAATGGCCCATCACTGTGACTGTCTGAGAAAAGCCATGGGACTGTTTGCTTTGAGAAAAAAAAAAAGACATGTGCTAAGATGATCCTAGAAAATAAAAGCAAATGGCTCTAGGAGGTCAAGTGTCTGTTATGATGTTCCTGTCATGAAAGTCTACGGCAAGAAAGACTGATGTTAAGTCCTTGAAAACACAAAAGGCTATGGAACAACTTTAGCATTCAATAAGAGGCTACCATGTTGGTAGCATGCTCTGAAAACTCAGTCATAAAAATAAATGCTTTTGTCAACCCTCTTTTCCTCCAACATATTCTCCTCAGTATAAGCATGTAGTGAAGTTTCTTGAGGGGCCTACAGAACTTCATTTGGCCTAGAATTATGATGAGTTTCTACTTTTTTCATTATCATGTCAAACAGAGCTTTTGGTGTTTAGAATTAGCTGGAATATTTAATGTTCTTCATTCACTGCAGGGACAAGTATACAAGCACACCGGTTCTGTGTACTCAGTGGCTCACTTTTTGCATTGCCTCTTTCTGGGTAGAACTAAAGAAATTCATTTAGGTGACTCTGCCTTTCTATAATCATCTAACCAGTGCAAAAAATTTTGTAAGTAGATATAGAACAACTTACGGGGCCCCCAGAATGTCGTTAATTCACATTTGTTTTTTCCTCACTAATTTTAAGCTGCTTATTAGTCTTCCCTTTTGATGGGATTTCAAGTTACAAAATCAGTGACTCAAATACTAACAATCATCACTGAATGTATGCCATTCAGGAATAAGTACCCGGACATTTAATAATGTAATTCTGAAAAGTAGAACAAAAACAAGAATGTAAATTGTTATCTCTTGACTGAATAGAAGCAGAACTAACAAAAGTCAGTATGTGGGCAAGGGAAATAATGTCATGCTGATAACCTCATATGTTAAAGTAAAAGAGAGACTTTATGTGATATCAGATTGAATGATCTAGTTAATAAACTCCAAGAGTGCCAACCTTTATTAGATTTTATAATTCCTTTCATTAACCTTAGAGGAATGTGTTAGAAAATACTACTATAAAAAGTGAGTTATTTAATGCTTAGCAATCTCTTTCATTTCTGCTTGGTGTTTTATTAAATTAAAAAGAAACGAAGAATCACATGTGTATTTGTTTTTTTACTGTGTCTTTTGTTGGTATTTTTATTAATAAGTTTTTTTATTGTGAAAATATGTACAGAGGGGTTACAATTACATGAGCAAGGTAATGAGTACATTTCTTATCCAGCATTGTTGCCTTCTCCTTTGTTTTTCCCTTAGCATCCCTGCCTTCCCATCTCCACAACTACACTCCCCCCACCCCCAGCCAAAGTTGTAAAGTTTGGTTTTCCACACAGTATTTTGTACATCTCATGGTTGCAATGGGTCCACCTGTATCCCTATTTTCTTTTTTGTTATAGGGCTTGAACTCAAGTCCTAGGTGCTGTCCCTGAGCTTCCTCTGTTCAAGGCTAATACTCTACTACTTGAGCCACAGCGCCACTTCTGGCCTTTTCTGAATAGTTTATTGGAGATGAGAGTTTCATGGATTTTCCTGCCTGGGCTACTTCAAACAGCAATCCTCAGATCTCAGCCTCTGGACTAACTAGGATTACAGGCGTGAGCTACGGCGCCAGGTTTTCTGTGTCATTTAAAAATTTTTTATTTTCTTGCAAAGATGCGGTACAGAGAGGCTACAATTACATCAGGAGGGTAATGAGTACATTTCTTGTCGAGCATTATTACCCTCTCCTTTGTTTTACTGTGTCTTTTAACATTGATTAATCACTGATCATTAGGTATATCTCATTCTCTCCTCATTTTTTTCCCACTGAAGATGACTAGGAAGATGCTTCATGCATATGAAGAGCCAATATAATGTTTCCACTAAGAAAAAGAAGTCTTTTCATCATTAGACTTGTCTGTAAGTGGTTCATAGTTAAGTAATAAGGAAAAAAGGGATTCAAGCCTATAATGCTTTATCAGGTTATTTATTTATTTATTTTTGTGTGGGTACTGGGGTTTAGACTCAGAGTCTGGGCACTGCCCCTTAGCTTTTCCCACTCAAAACTGGTCCTCTACCACTTGAACCACACCTCTACTTCCAGCATTTGGGTGGTTTAATTGGAGATAAGACTCTCATGGACTCTTCTGCCTGGTCTGACTTTGAGCTGCAGTAATCAGCCTCAGCCTCCAGAGTAGATAAGATTATAGGCAGAGTCACCAATGCCTGACAGATTTTTCAGTTTATTTATTTATTTATTTTTATTTTTTTGGGTCCAGTCGTGGGGCCTGAACTCTGGGCCTGGGCGCTGTCCCTCAGCTCTTCAACTCAAGGCTAGCGCTCTACCACTTGAGCCACAGCACCACTTCTGGCTTTTTTCTTTTTGCTTACGTGGTGCTGAGGAATCGAACCCAGGGCCTCAGGCATGCAAGGCAAGCGCTCTACCACTGAGCCACCTTCCCAGCCCAGATTTTTCAGTTTTTAAAGCAAGGTACATCTGTGCAGGATATGGCCTTTCAACACACACACACACACACACACACACACACACACACACTTATACACACAACACATACATCTATGTACATATATGTAGACACACACATGTGCATATATAAATAATCTGGCAATACTGGAATTTGAATTTAGAGTTTCATTGCCTGCCAGGTAGGCTTTCTACCATGGAGCCACATTTCCAGGCATTTGTTTCTCTAGTCATTTTCTATCTGGGTCACACCATGACTACCTACTTTAGTCTTTCCATTGTAATTGGGACAAGAGGCTCACACCACCACACCCAATTTCTCTGTTGAGTTTAATGAACTTTGGTGCCCAGACTGTTCTGAAAGCACAAACCTCTCCATCTTAGTCTCCTGTGTGACTAGGATGACAGGCAGAAGCCTTCACAGTCAGCTATGGAGTAAGGAAGAGG